AATATGTACCAAAAACTAGCAACTTAATCGCCATTCTGTCTATGAGTATGAGTACCTTTGGAGTGGAAGAACCAGAATATTTAAGTAGTATGCTACTGTAGAAGTATGCACATTCTAGATCTTTGAGTGTGTATAACTCCATTGATGAGGGTAATGACTATTCTGCAGGAGATTCAAAAATTACAGGGGACAGGTTTTTCATATTACAGTCGGTATTAAAGCTGTGATAAAATGATGGCTTATAAGCTAAGAGTCTTGAAAACATTACTGATTGCCCTAAAATGGACGCTATTTTCGCAGTTCCAAAATATGTTGTGTTTCTGAGCCCGATACTTAGGGGAGAAGATAGCAGCGAGTTACTTAATTGTCTTCTCACATCTGTAGTAAAACGTATCTACTAGGCTACGAAGTCAATCCATGTGTACACCTAAGAGCGCACTTTCATTTCGCCAGTAAAAGTGCTTCCATTTCCGTTCACATACGTGGGCAGAACGCGTGTCTGAACGCGCATCGCCCAGAGTGAAAAAGCACTTGTCCCGATCAAATCTGTCCCCTTCCAACTCCAGTCAGAGGTTACTCGACCGACCGCAGTCCACTTCGTCGGTCATCCATCACTTGCTGAAGACAAAGCGCTGTACGAACATGGACATCCTACTTTACAAAGCCAATGCAAAATAAAAACCAGAGGTGTGTAGACAGAAGTAGCTGTTCGTTTTGTTGATGCAACTCTGACGACTTCGAGGCCTATTGGCTGAACGTCAGTACTTTTGTTCCTGAAATTTGGAGGGTACGTTGACGGAATTACGCGGTGTAATACATACGGATCATTGTACGAATCTACAATGTCGTCTGCCCTTTTCACTTTCGTACTTCTCATGCCTATGTGGGAGGACAGCCAGTTGGTGTGCACTGCGTGATCGTGCGCGGTGCATACCGATGACGAAGCGTTCGGAATCCAGTTATCAAGCCCACGAACAGATCAACTGCCAGTTGATCAGCGGTCAGTCATTGGCCATGTGTTTCAGCTATCTAGGTTGGGGCCCATTAACCGCACAATGCTCTTTGTTGAAACAATTTTGTGAGTGAAATAAAACTTTTTGCGCCAAAATGCTGCATTTTGTTGCATAAATGCTCAACCCAAAACCATTCCAATCTACGTTCAGATATTTGCAGCTCACCGAATTTCATTGTCTACTGAAGCAATCATATCCCTGGCGGAAAAAGTCTGGTGGAATACGTTCCTGACATCGTTGAGACCCCGGGATGCCTAGATGGGGCTCAAAAGTTTGAACTCGTACTTTGAGCTCAATCGCCTGTCTCTTTTGGTCCATCAGGGACACGTCAAATCTTTCAAAAAATCAATTCCGTTGTGCGAATACTGAGCACCGGTTAGAATACTGATCATAGAAATGATTTAAACAAGCGCGTTCGCGTGACAACTTGTAACTGAGTGGCTACGAAGCCGTCTAATGAAGGACCAGCATGCTTCGTTTCGTCTCGTTCCCCAACCTTATGGCTTCCGTACCACAGTTTTCTCATACGTTGCACCAAACGCTACCCGGTATGGAGGTATGCCTGATTGGGCCAACCAGTGTTGCTATGCAACAACGACGTGCTGCAGCGTAAATATTCCAAATCGTTAGACTTTTTTTGGCTAACCTTCCTTCAAGACAGCAGTTTATGAAATGATTGATTGTTATCGAAACGCCTGATTTGTTTCGCTACTAAAAGAGGTAGTCCCAAAAGTGACTGGATGTTTACAAGTCCAATGCTTGGTTTCATCATCCTAGTGAAATTAATAAGTTATTGGGAATCGTCGGTAATGAGTATCTCACTACCCTCTGGGGAGATTCAAACTGACAGTCTACCGAACAGGGGGCTAGAATGTCTTGGAACACACTTTTACCTATCCTCTGAGAAGGTGTCATCCAAGCTGTTACACAAGTTGACAGCAGATCATGTGACGTGAACCTTCCGACTGGAACATGGATGACAGTGTGTCTTGTGAAAGCGCGTTATCCGGACTAATGATCATCCAGCTTGACTTTGAAGTATAGGGGTTATGTCTAGGTTTTCCAAGCTGCTCACATCTTACGTAATGCTACGTAATGATGCCCAACAGGTTTACAGTGGTCATTTGCTTTTCAGTCCAGTCCAGCTTCACCTGCAGGATGAAATCAAAGTTAGGCTTCGAAACGGGATCCAACAGGTTTACAGTGGTCATTCGCTTTTCAGTCCAGTCCAGCTTCACTTGCAGGATGAAATCAAAGTTAGGCTTCGAATCGTCGATAAGTGAAGTTTATTGCCCAGGCACTTAGCCATTTCAAGAGGCCATTTCTTCCATTCTCCCACTCTAAATGTCAAAATCGGATAGACGGGAAAATTCCAATTGTTCCAGATAAATCTAACAAAGCAGGATCGTCGCCCTATAGTTGGCTAATCGTCTCAACGTCATCTATTTACCCATTATCCCATTCTAGTTTGGGTAAGCTGAGCCATCCTCTGCTGGTTAATCTGTTCTCATCTACCCTTGTGCCTCAATCACTTATGTGCCAGTGAACAATGGAACTTTACCTGTTGGAAAGGTAACCAGCAGACCCTATCCTAAGCGCAATAAAAGGAAGAATGAAGATTAAATTAAGCTGCTCCTGCAGAACTTTTCAGGTAAAAATAGAAACTAGCACTGTGTCCCTCTCTTTGGCAAAAGGTGTGGGCTGAGCTGTCTTCTTTCTTCAGTGAACTAGGACTGTGCGATGTGTGATCCATCGTTAATTTTCACAATATGAAGTGCTGAATTAACTGTTCACCGGCGATTGGCGGGCGTTTGTCAGGCTTTTTCCTTGTTTTCCAGTTTAGGGAAGATGGGAACTAAGTTCCTACCTGGAAACTCTGATATTTCACAACTCGTGATCATATTTATCAGAATTTGAATGCAATAACAAGTAACTGTGAATTCGCAACCTTGACCCTGTCCATATATGTTCTTTTTTCACCAGCAAACCGTGGTGACAGTGTTTTACGATGACGTTTGAAGGCCAGACAAACGAATTTCAATAATTATAATAGTAATATTAGTAATAATAATAATGGTAATCAAATGGATGGTGTAGATTGCCTGTACTGGTCAGAACAAATCAGAAGTCAGTAACTGACTGACCAATCAACACTTTCGACATTAAATCAATCACTTTTTAGTATCTACACAACTACAGTCCCATCAATAAAATGGTATGATAAAAGTATCCCATTTTCCCATTTACGTATCGCATTGTTCAAGATAAAATGATTTATGGTGTCCCACAAAAAGCATTGCATTTTTTGGGAACTAAGAGCTTAATTAGCAAATCATCCTACGTTCCCCTATTCAAAGCCTGAGCCCACCGAAGTGAATGGGAGTAGTACCGGAGCATCCTGAAGGTGCCCGCAAGTTAGCCCGGATCCGGTTTAACATGGAATTGCATCCTGTCTTCTGTAACCCGTCGGGGTTGGTTGCTAGGCTGCCTTTAATGCCTATGGAACATTATTCACCCGTGCTCACAGGACCCCTATATTCCGATGACCTGGAACAAAGGTTAAGATTCTTAAGCATTCACGTGGATGCTTATGTGGGTGAGCACTGGTACCCGGATCTGGGGACAGAACTAGACACTCCATCCTTAAGCCAGCGCGGACGTGTGTGTGTTTACCCATCAATCACTTTTAAACCAAACAGCACGCATCCACGGATGGCTGTTTCATGTCAGACCTCTCTAATGCCCGAATGTCACTTAATATCTCTCCAAACTTCTAGTCACTCTTATGTTATAAGTGATGGTAGTCGATAAGCTTGGTGGACAGATGGCACAATTTGTTCACATGTTCCTCTCTGTAGTTTACCGGTCAGTTCATAAGCTGTTGTTCCACTCGTCAGATAGATCTAATCACTTTCAAAGTAGACTGTCTTAATCCGACTTTAGTCAAAGTGAATTGAGGCAGCTTCAGACACCGAGTCTTCTAGTTACAGGAACACTTCAGCTGCACCCTCCTTCCCCGAACTGTTTTCAGTTTGACTTCTAGAACCAACTATGAGATTAGCCCATTTATTTGTCAGAAAACTCTGTGAGCGTTATTGCGCTTAATATGCTTGCTTCAACCTCAAAAGTCACACTGGAACACTGATCATACTATGTTTCGAACGGTACGTGACTTGAGCACGCAAGTCTTCGCTTAGTAAACAACATTCAAGACAAGTTTCATGACCTACGACAACCTCCTTGCTGATTAAAAAAAATCGATCACCTGGCCACCCAGGTACTCATAAGCAGCAGGATTCCTCAACAGGCCACCTGACCGACCACGTGGAAACCAATTCAGTGTATACAAGAAATGGTGAACCATGTGTCTCATAAAATATTTAATATTGTTTGCTGACCCCCAAGTCCCGCAGATCAGGCCAGTCAAACGGAGGTTCCTTGTATTTTACTTCAGAAAGACTTGATTCGTAAGAATCCGATTGTACTAAGGCCTCGATGACTAATCAAAGTACGGCGAAGCAAAATGTTTTTGGTGCACTTATAAATAAGTGGTTGCCAAACTTCTAACTGACCCCAAACTCAAGTGCAATCAAAAACGCTGAGTAACAAAAGAGAGCTATTTTCGAAGTAAGAATAACTGCAGGTTAACATGAACTTTCGGTATATGTCATGCAGACTTGAAGGGCTGTAATCCTGCCTATTGTACCTTATACACCGATGAGCGTCCAAAGCTAACCACGAGAACGCTCCCGCAACGTTCTGAAGGACTGCTGATCCGTACCGATCACACATTTAAGGTTTGTTACCTATCCTTGAGGGATGTTAGACCTCGCGCGTTCCACTGATCTCTCAGATATAAGGAGACATAGACCCTGACCCCTCTGATGGCTGAATCTTGGATTTGGGCCCCTATCCCTAGCCCTGGAACCAAAGCCTCCTGTTTCACTTTCAAACCAAAATTTACCCATTGCTATACCACAGACTAACAATGATTTTTTTTAATTTTTTTTCCGAAAACTCCGATATGAAGCGCTCGACAATGCAAGGGACATTCGCTTCGCTGCGCAAATTGAACAGATTCCTAATAAAAGAAAAACACTCAAAGAAAGACTGAGATCCAGGATACTATTTTTAGGGTATGCAAATAGTCTTTGAAAATCTGTCGAACAAATGTTGGGCGTAGGCTTTTGATTGTGTCGGAAATCAAGAAGAATATTTGAGTAGGTAAAATTTCCAACGGATAAACTCCCAAGTTTTGGGGGTGGAGAATGTAAAGCATCCGAGGCAGGCCTTAAATGGCTTCCATATTGAAAGTCCATCCATCGGTGAAGCTATTTGCATCAGTGTTTGCAGAGGCCATTCAGGAAACTTCCGGCCAACAAAAAGAGCCTACTTATGATATAGTCATCCAAAAATAGACCATTGGAACTACTAGTACTGCTTGGGAAAGTTGAGAGAGAGAGAGAGCACGATCGGAGCTTTCGCGTACATTACCACTAAATTACCTAGTTGCTTGTGATAACGGAAATGTGTTACATGCCGCTGTCACTGTTGCTCTGTTATTGTACTTTTGGTTCTTCAGTATCCACCGTGACAATTTTCCGTGAGGGAACTTTTATGTAGTTCTTTCCACTCTTAATTTGGTACACCTGTACACATGCTTTAAAAGCAACTCATCTAGTGGCAGTCGTATGGATCCGAGGCTATGACGCATCTTTTCGTTATCGATTAATTTATTTGTCTGTGTTAGTCGAATAAGTCGTTCTGTCGTCGAACAAAGAGAAGCACCATAAACATGCTGCTCTGTCCTTGGGTTCAAGACAGTTCTGATCTGAGAAAGCCAAAAAACTCCACTCTGATCGTAGGTCACTGCTAAAAGCCAGTCTAGCGATTAGTTTTCTGGAGTACTCTAAACCCTCTTTACAGTTAGTATAAAACACTGAGCATCGATTTTCATTACATGCCTCCCGTCACACTGGGGGTGCATCAACAAGTTGTCCCACCCATCTGCTAGAATTCACAGTAACTCTAAATGACCCTTGGGACTTGGGAAGAGGCAAAAAAGCCTAGATGGGTGTCCAGAAGTCTCTGCTATGAATCTGTGAAAGTGCGAAGATGTTAAGTGCCTGTTAAACACTTTTCCCGTTAGAGGATAGGGTCAAACTACAATAGTACTCAACTCAGTTAGTGCGTATTGTCCTTTAAAACATGTTTCGGAATCTCAACACATGGTGTGTCGAATCTCGCAAAAACTTCAAGGCAATGGGAACACAATTCACGAAATTCTGTTCTAGTCTTAATCGCCGTTTAGAAGCTCCAAAAGTTTAAGCCCGTCAATGGAGTCGCATTGTCCTTCCAAAGTGAATACTTTCTACCTAACGTCGCAGTGGAAGCCGACAAGGTAGTTGTCAGGATCATGGTAGCTGGAGTCATCCACTAGGTTTGTTCTCAACTGCTGCTAGTCAATTCGTAGGTGGGTAGTCAGAGGACATGCCATGGTGATAGCGGTTTGAGACCGTAAAACTGAAAGTGCATTACACCTAGCACAGAATGGGATCTTTTGAGATGAGTCAAATGAATGCAATGGAATTCTAAACCCTACAGATAGAATGCTCTCGGGACTAAGAAACACTGTCCACTTTCTGACGGCGCAAGAATTCTAGGGGGCGTAAGAGCATCAAATATGCTATTTTCCGCTACATGTTTACCTTGCAGCCCGGCCATCCATTTCAAAGTCTCCGGCTTATTAGTTCGCAATAATTGCTCTCTTGGTCTCTCAGTCCAATTTCTGTACAGCATGAAATTATCAGATTGAATACGTTCAGCAAATCGTTGACCTGCGGATCCAGCGGATCCTATGGGGAAATGTAGCGCGAAGTGTAGCGCACACGCTGTGTGACTAAAGCTCACTTCGGGTCAATACGTAGAAAGGTCCCAAAACGCTAGTCCTGGGATAAGGAGCAGAAGTTGTTCCATTCATGTGTACAAACTTTTGGAGTATCTATACTTGATTCAAGAATGGGTCAAATCCATTACTTCCACGAAGTTTACTCATCAGAATACGTCGTCCAAAACCATTCCTATGACCTCTGTTGGACTGTAACACTTAGTGGTATTTTGAAGATATGTTGAACGAATTCTTTCAAAAGCCATTCCAACTTGTCCCAGTGTTACAGTTGCCTTTCAGTAAAAACGCGAAGTCTCAAAAGTACTTAGGTCGCTGTCCCATCGATTGTCTCGGCGTAACCTGTCAAACTGGATCAGAAGAGGGATAGATGAAAACAGAAAAGTTGTGGTGATCCAGGCTTCCTAAAAGATTCAAAGAATAGAATGAAACCTATCAATGTACACAGAAAAACCAACCCAGAGACCTAGTTTGTCCTTGCTACATTCCTCAAGAATGCGATGTCATTTCTACTGATATAGCAGAGATTCACTGAAAAGAGTTGACATAAACTTTCAAAACAAAAAATGGATGACGTTTACTGGTGGAATTTTATAAACAACCATAATCAGTGAATTATTTGAGTCCCGGTAATGCCTTGTGTCACGTGGTAATATAATAGTTAGCTTCCTGCCAGAAATCTGTCAGTAGAGTCCTTAAGGGTACCATCCCGGCTCAACTTCACCTTCTTTGAAAGACAAAGGTTGATATAAATATGAAGGTAAAGTCGGTTTGAGTAGTGCTTTGCGAATATCGACGAAGTCCTAGTATAAAATATGACATACTGTTTTCAAAAGTCCACAAGTTGATCTTACACTGTATCATTATTTAGTGGAAGCCTGGTTCATCACTTTTCCAATAAAAGATGTTTGAAAATGTATATTCCGCTTAATGGACATCGGCCAAGTCATTGTTGAGCAAGCTTGGGTGTGTGGCTGACATCATGTGAACAAACTTCAAGCAAGTGTCGTTAAGTTAGTCTATTCATACAGAAGAATTCAGATGAGTTCAAGATTTGCTGAGGAAGTAGTCGTGAACGTGCTTTCCTAGGATGCAACCTGACCTCCTTTTCGTAACTTAGTACGAAAACTTAGGTACTACGGAGTAACATCAGCAAGAGCTGAATCCAGTCAGATGTCTCTGTTAACCACGAACTAACCAGGTTTGCAATGTCATAGAGGAACGAGGGCCGCTCAAACGATTCACATTATGTTGATGCATGTGGGGGGTTTTGCGGGAGGTTTGTTGTTCAGTTTCACATCACTCTCGTTTTGAACAGTCGTTTCCGGAGTCCAAACCCCGGCACGGCCGTTGGATATGCACTGCAGATGAGCTCTAACAAGAGCGAAACTCGAGTCTAGTGCTTCCCTCCCCCTTTGGTGCAGATTCAAATGAATAATTGCGCCAGGACAGGAGGACGAGAGTGATGCAAAACTGAATCACATTATGTTGGGCAAAAAAGGAACTCAGCATTTTCATTTGGTCATTGCATGGTTGTTCAGGATCACATTCCATATCGAGATTTTATTTTATGATTACAGTCGAACTATTCTGGGAAGCCAAGGAGATTAGTTGTTTCATCCTTGTTGTGACCGATCAGCGGTGGGTAGCTTGGAATACTGTGCCAGTCAGTCATAGTGGCTGAGCCACGGTGTGATGGATTTGAACGTAGAATGAATAGTAATAAAACCTTTCAACAACGAGGCTCTCGTCACGTGATACGCTGTTGACTGATTCCCCAGGGCATGATTTGTTAAACACAAGCACCATGTTACTCGTGGGATTTTTTCTTCTTGAGAAGGTCACCCAGTGATCCCTTTTTGATGACGGAATCATTCTACGTCTATAGGACAAAGCTCCATGAAGATTAGATACATTTTAAGAATGCTATTGCGCATTTGTCTAGATATAGCAGCAACATGTGAGTGACTGTCAATTTTGACTATATCACTGGCTTCTACTAAACTACTGATTACTTATTTGCGCAATTTATGAATGATGAGCAGTGCAACAGTTGGCTCTGCTCTGGCGACTTATATTGGTAAAGCTATAGACTAGAAGTGACTTTGGTCGTTGGTTTGTTCGCTACGCACAAGTACGCTCTCAAACGACGCACTGATAATGTCACCTCGATTGGTGATGAAACGTTTGCAAGCAGATTGCAAATTTCTCAGCGAATTAACCAATGACCGTCTACACTGCCTGAGCTACCAACATTTTCCTCTATAGAAGTGACTTTTCTACCACATGTAACTCCTGGGGTTAGGCCTTGCAGAGGAATAGCCTTTGTTAAGCACAAATATGGTCATATGTCAGTTTTGAGGGCATAGACAGCCAGTATCTTTGCATTTTTTACCCGGATAAAGTTTCCGTGAGAAGAATAAGTCTGTTTATGATGCGCCGTAGCATCGATGAGGTACTCAGAGGTTGGATCATCAGACGGCGACTGTATTGTTTACTCGTAAGGTTTCTAAAAACTTTCCGACGACCCACGATCTGTTTCGTCTTTTTTTTTCCTGGTTCTCCAGTTAAATGCATTCCCCGAGTTTCAGCCAATCTTGTGTGTTTTATCCAAATTTTACGAAATTCATGAAACACTCAGTTGCAGAACAATTAGGTTTCTACGGGAGAATGCTATAAACAAAGGTTTCAGCCGGGATTCAGTTAAGACTCCCTATGAGAACAAATCGGCCTGCAAAGAAGGATAGTTCGTGAAGGAGTTACTTTTTTCAAGAAATACGCTCATTTGCAAATCAATTTGGTTTTCACGAGATACCAACTGAATCTCTCGTTTATGATATTCTACAACTGAATGTGCCGCACGCAGGTCGCCTTTATGAAAATATGCTGTCGAATATCGTGCCAACTGAATCATCAGGCGGCCTGTGAGCAGCACATTCAGCTGGAGGAAATCATAAACGAGTGATTCAATTGAGTCTATCGTGAAAACCAAATTGATTTGCAAATGAGTTATCTTTCGAAAACAGTCCAATTTGGATTCAAGTCGAACATAAGGTTGAAGGAGACTCGGGGACTGCGCTTAACTGATGAGCCCGGAGAAGGATAAAACCAGTCGTGGGCTGTCGAAGAGTCTTCAGCAATCTTGTGAGTAGTTTCTTTTATGAAAAGAGTTACTGTTTTCTTATTGCGAATACGACCGGAGGATCGACTTTAAACACCAGTCCGCAGCACTTGCCATAATTCACTGGTGAACGGAAGCTACCCGAACAACATCTCCATCAAATATCAGGGCTGTCTAACACAATATCGTATAATACAGGTACCCATTCCCACGTCGATAATGAGGAGACTACGCGTGCCGGAAAACAAAAAAATGCGTCTGAGTTGTCGTTGATTGAATAAAGGAGCAGGCACCAGTGGTTTGTGTGGAAAAAACGTATATCGAAATTAGCTGATGGTTTGATAGTGAGTCCTCCATTGAGTCAGACTGCCAGTACTCACGTCCCATCAGTGTTTGTGTTGAGCTGAGAACCAGCATCTTGCTGTTTCATCCATAATTTCGGTCCCAGATCAGCTCTGCGGGCATGGCCTACCCACACAATGCTACCATAATCCACGCGTGGTCACATGTGGGCATCTTAATCACGCTTATTCTAAGGGCATGCGTGCTTGTTTGTGGTCTATAAAGGAACAGAAACGCCACGTGGAGTGTGACTAGATGACAGACATGCGGGAGCCGAGCCGATATGCGCTGTCCATTTTCATCCATACTCATTTGGGGGGGGGGACGCCTAATAACCAGCTTCGTTCTCTCCAGTGTTATGGTGCATAGGATGGGGGAAGAAGCTCCACATCGCACTGAGCATGGTTAATCCCCTAAGAAATGTGCGAGGGTGACCAGCTATATATAAGGACAACGCGTGAAGCGACCAAGCTGCAAACTCAATTACAAACGTGAGCTGAACAGCATAAAGTGAATTTAACCAATTATTTACAAAGTGAAAGCAGCTATTGAATTTCGTCAAACTGGTAAGTTGATTTGTGATTTATAGTTTTCATTCGACAATTTTTTTATTCGTCCATTACTTTGGTAAGGCCATATATTTAAACAGAATGACGGCCGATCCTTGCTAGGATTAGAGCAGCGTCATTTTCGCTTCATAAAATTAGTTTTAGGGACACAAAACACGTGTGTAGACTAAATTTGTAATTCATATGCTGAGACAGCCCCTGTAAGCCTAGAGAATGTGCTTTTTCTACCAGGAGAGAACAACTGTTACTCCAAATTGATTTGCAAATGAGTGTATTTCTCAAAAGCAGTCCAATTCGGGTTCAAATAGAACATAAGGTTGATGGAAACTCGGAGACTGCGCCTACCTGATGAGCCCCAAAAAGGGCGAAACCGGTCATGGGCTGTCGAGGAGTTTTCAGCAACCTTCTGAGTAGTGCATCACGTCTGTATAGGGTCCGAATAAGTTATTTTGCTTTTTGGATCCATGAGCATTTCACTGTCCAGACAGTGACTACCTGTTACGTGTCCACCTGAAAAGCAACAGTGAACAGGTCCACATAGGTGTTTCAGATGGAGTGCCAGAAGTTGGTTGTTGCTCATGTAATTCTCACTCCTTAGTATGGGACTACATCTTGTTCCGTACCCGTGTTCACCAACATGCTAGCATGGTGTTTTTGCTGACTTCCTGTCATTGTATTACGTTTAACTAATAAGAGGACTATAAATCATGCTCATGAGTCAAAGTACCGGTGTGTGGTTCACACATGTAGTTGGAGGACAACTACTCCCCTTAGGTTTGTTAGCTTTTGTGTTATTAGCTAAATTGAGATGTCACATTGAGCCTAGAATATATATATATATATATATATATATAAGTTTAAGTTCGGAACCCTCCGGATGGCAAGGTAGTGAGGAATCGAAATGGCTTTCAGATGGATGATTGTATATTTATATTATTCTATGTATGCTATATGTATGTTACAACGAAATCCATTGAACGACTTATCGAGTGGTTTGATTCAGTAGGCGCACCCGTCAGCGGCAGTCATTCGTCCAAAACCTGCTCCACAAAGTAGTGCTTAACAGCTATTCGTGCATATATTACTCAGCGTATTTTTCCAGGCTTGAATAAAGAGGAATCATCATCTATTTGTTTAGCTTGACCGATGGTTTGAGGTTTTGTTGGAGGTTTTATTGGGCACTTGAGAATTTTCTGTACCACCGACGACAAAATGAGAAGCACTGCACCTTCTTTGTTTAGAATCATCAGCAGTTTGCTTGACGAACCCTCTTAAACTTTCGGAGGAACTGGACCAGAGGACTACTGATCTGTAACTGTCTACTATGCCATTCAGGCAGAGGCGGTTAGTCCTCGTTAGCAGGATTAACTTACACCCAGAGAGAGTGTAATTCCGACTACGGATAAGACACAGGACATTCGGCTGCCGACCATGCTCCCATATTTGGGTAGATCCAAGGAAACTCTCAAAGCAATCAAGTGCTCAAAGGCCTTCAATGGTTTATGCTCTAAGTTCGAAGGGAATGTCACAGCTGCGTGAAAAAGGAAGCTTAAGTGGCCATCACGTGACCGAGTTTTTGTTTAGTGTAACTACGAAATGCGATCCAAATGAATAAACTAGGTATAGAACACTCAGTCTTATATTGTTTTGCTAGTACCAGAGTGGCTGGTGACCATTATCCTTATGATATATAGTTATGTTGCAGAAATAAGGATAAATAAATAGAAACTCTCCTAATCAAACCTTTCTTACGTATACTGTACACTTCCTAATTTGTTTGTGAATGTGATACGACTGACAATTATTTTGCATTACTTCCGATTCTTCTGGCCAATCAGCTGTCACATCTATGTGCTGATGCCTTTAAGTGAGAAGTTGTTTCTGGAAGCGTCTTGATGCTCGTACAAATCTGTTCCCACGGTCAACCACTGTTAGTCACCTGGATAACAAGCTGAATTCGCGAATAAGCGGCCACGTTTTCTGCATCGTTTAGGTTGACATCCGAAACAATCAGCAATGAGTGAAACTAATATATATCTGTGCATAGTTATTGTTGTCACAGTCAGTTTTATGAGAACAGAAGAGGGGTGACTTCGAGATTATTGATAACGATGTAGACCTGTAGGAATGGAAAAAGTGTTCAGACACTCGGTGACTTTTTGGTAACCATAAGTGAACGCCGGCACCGAATGTTGGTCAATCAACGAAACACCAGTGTAACAGCCGAACGATATCTTTGAGTGACGCGTAATATCGGAACCTCCGGGGAAACAAAAACAGTCGGAGATGGGTTACTACACGGTACTACTAACTTAAGACATCAATTCACAAGATACACAAACCTCGACAGTAGATACTCGTCCACAACAAATGGTCCACTTGATCTACAAAAATACGAACCAAATGATCAAACAGGCTCCCACGTGAGTCACTCATAAGGTTGTGCATAAGGTCGGCCACAAAATTGCTGGATGACCTCAAGGTCAAATTATTGAAGTGGCAGGGACAAACAAACGCCACTTCATATACACGCACTAAACACAAAAGTGGAGCGGGAGTTACAAACAGGGACAGAAGAAACGTGGGGAATTTCAAATGTCACAGTAATGGACGATACAACAAGCGTCAATCTCAACCACGCAAGTTTTCAGCATGTGGTTTTGACGTACTGTGCTATATCGGCTGTTATTGGTCTGAAACCTTTGTGAGTTGACAGTTGTGTTGAATTAGTTTCCATCTGATCCAGTCCAGTTCACTATTCAAGGATCGGTAAGCACGGCAGATGGCATGTGGGACAGCCAGGTCCCAAAAATCACTTTGTTATTACTTCCCAAAGGAATCGCTAAAGAATCAGTGCGTTCATAGCTGGGTAACGTTTTGCTTATGACGTTGAAACCTCGTCTGTCTTTTGTTCCATGATAATGGTTACCCCAGGTGGTCAAGATATCGGACAGGTTCCTTCAGCTTACTCGCTGTGTTGTCACCAGCGGTTTCACTAAGAATCAACGAGCCTCGGTGACTAAACTCACTCAACTCCCTGAAACGCATTGCGGTTTTGACCAATTAGTTGAGCTTTAGCTTCGTACTTCGATAGCGCCAAATGGATTCGTTCAAGTGACTTCAATCTGGCCGTGAGGCTTTGTTCCCAACGTTATTTTACACCAGTTTGGCGGATATAAGCTGATAAAAACAATATGCACCTCACAATCAGACATTTTTTAAAAATCAGCTAATCAGTTTAAAAGACGGGAAACATTAAGTAACACGCACTCGAATGCCGTGCTTCCTATTGGTTTGTGATGAATATCACGGAAGACACTCTACCCAGAAATACTCCTAAGCCTGCTCATAACTGACGTCGGAATGTGTAAATAATAAAAGTAAACAGTAGTAGGCGTTCAGCTGTGAGATCCTTTCGGGGCCTAGCGGCCACGATACCCGGGGGAATCACGAGGGCTGAGATTCTGCCTGTTTGCACAAACCTAGACAGGAGCAGTCGAGATGCCGGAGTAGGGTTCCAAACACGGACCTTCAGGTCAGTAATTTTGCTCTGATATAAATGGGCACTGCTGTTCTGGGATCTTAAGTATGAATATGCTGTTCGCAAGCTAGTTGTGAACTTGCAGTTAGAGATACAGCTGTATTTTATCAATGTGAAGGCTGTATCGTGTCCAAGAAACAATTGAGATCATGTAGATTATCAGTCATCTCTATTAGACAAAACAAAAGCAAAAAGCATGGCGTACATACAGAACAGAATACACAACCAAACATATCTTCATTTCGGCAAATTTCTGACTCTAGCTATTTGGCGATATGAATGCGCTAAATACAAGCAGAAAACGCTGTTCGCTAAGGGTTTATCACATTCAAAGCTGCGACAAGAATATGTCTTCAGGCGGGGCGCAGATCAGAAGAATTCGCAAACCCTGCATTAGAACTAAAAAGAGCTTACTAGACTAGCTTTTTGGTTAGTGTTTGATAGCTGTTCGAGAAACTTTTGACCATAGTTTCATTTACGCTGCACATGAGTGTTCGCTTGTTCGGAGACTAATGAAAGTTTCGAAAATCCAGTACTACCTCCCTGGAGGAACCTGTTGAACGGGCGACAAGCTTGGAAACAAGTGTTTTTTAATCCAGCCCGAGCGAATGAACTTACAGGATCAAACGACAAGCACTTTTCGATTGCCCGAATGGCTACTTTAACTCTATAAAGTCTGAGAGCAAGGAGACGCTACCCAGATTCATGAGTTGACCATCATTCCAAGTAATTTCGTTCCATAAACACAACTGGTGTATTAAACCATTTCCTCATCATACTTTCTGATTGTATTAATTTAGCAGATACCAGTGCTTTGGATATGCACATAACGTCACCTGTTAGAATACCGACCGAATACGTAGGCGGAAAACCCAATACCTAATCAGAACTGATAGAAGGCATATGCTACAATTTGTCAACATTTCTTCGAATCTCCCCAGTCTCAGATGTAAAACATGCAATTTATATAAATAAGGAGTGGAAACAATGCTGAACGAACAGCGGCTGACTGGTTTCTACCAGTAATCTGATCAATGTCAGGCTAACCAAATCGTTTGCTTCCAATGGTTCTGTACTGGGCCAATTTGCTTGTATGAGAGGTGCCTCGCGTATTCCTGAAACTTTGGGTTTTGTGTTGCGAAACTGGATTCAAAAGGAGTTTGTCGGGTCAATCCGAAGGCCAGTATCTAACGGATGTCCGGCAGTTGACGACAAGTAAAAGTGTTTGTATAATTGCATATATATATATATATAATATAACTTCCATATTTAGGTCCGCGACTTGAGTGAGTACAGGAAATGTTAACTTATGGCACCTTATGTCTTTTTTCGATGCTTCACATGACATGTCGAGTTCTCGTTGGTCATCATTATTTTCTTAGCTCCCTCTAGGAATAGATTGATATTTGTAGCAACCTATCGTACGTACTGATTTTTGTTGAAGTTTATATAGATGAAAATACTAGTCTCAGATGTTCCATACCGAATGGGCTTCTACATGGGCTAACCAGGTTGCGCTGATGTTTGTGAATAAGATGTATGAAGAATGATTGCATACGTGGAATATTCATGCATAGACGTAATGCACTACTTATAAGGTTGCTGAAAATTCCTCGACAGCCCACAACCGGTTTTTCTTGGGACTCTTCAGGTAGGCGCAGTCCCTGAGTTTTTGTCAACTTCATCTTCTACCGGAAACCAAATTGCACGAAATTAGTGAAATACACTCGTTTTCAAGACAAACTTGGTTTTGCGTAAGACTCGTCTTGAACCCAGCAGAATCTCTCGCTTATGATGTTTCTAAACAATTAGAAGTGCCGCACCAGGCCGCCTACATTTTCTGCAGCAGTTTAAGGTGGATTGCGTCGCACAGTTTCCGAGTAGTTTCGTTTATCCATTCACAAGTTTAACGGTACTAGAGAAACACAACTCTCTGAGCAGATCGAAGACGAAATTTGTGATGGAACAGTGGCTTTTCTACACAGACAAATCGATTAGTGTGCTGGGGAAGCAGGCAGATGTTACATCCTGGCTCATGACACACTCATGGTACAGCGATGTACCGTGTTGATTGCACGTAGCAGTGTCTGGATGGTTTATTACAAAAGCCATTGAAATACCATGATATATACCTCATTATGGAAGAGAGTAGGAACCCATCAAAGCGACTATCTAATAAATCCAGTCTGTTACACACATATGGTATGGAATTCTTCACCCTTCCTCTTTCCACATACCGTTTTAGAAAAGAATGAGTCTATCCAACGTTCAGAGATATTGTCAATGGCTTGATAGTCAGTCAGCTGCGAACACGAGCCACCATAAGTTATGTGTCAATCCAGACCTGATACCAGGAAGAACAGTTGAGGCATCTGATGCAAAGATCCAGCAGTCACCGGCCAGTCACCTGAGCGTCCAATCGCCCGGACTGTCTGACAGTGCGCTTATCGACGATGGTTATTCATCCGTGTCGTCCTTATCAACACTTATTCAACTAAACAGAGAAATGGAAGATCGGGCTTTTAAAAGTACACCAATCAGATCAGGGAATATTCAACAGTCGGAAAGTACGTCGTCTAATAGGGATTCTGGACTTGGTGGATCTTCCATTTGGAGTACGAGCACACCATCAAGGTTGAACACATTTTGGGATGCTTTTGGTAGGCACCATCATCATCATCAACAACAACAGGCTTTTGGAAGCCCTCAAGCACCATCTTATTCTGGTGTGAATTCGCAACTTCTCCAGAAAAATGCCCCATCACCATCCTATACGCACTCAATGTCAACCTCTGATGCTTTCTTCTTGGCAACTTTACAAAAAATGGCACTTGAAAAGGCTGCACAACATGAAACATTTGGTTCTGCGTATCCCGACGCAAGCTATAACGATGAACTACTGAGTGGAATTGTTGGTGGAACCTCATCAAGGGATCTTTTAAGAAGTGCATCGAGATGGTTACAAGAACTCAGATACCAAGAAGTTATTCGAAAATTCAGAGAGGAGATGATTGGACTAATAGATAACAGTATGAATCAGCTGGGGTTATTTATGAAAAGCCCAACAGTAAACTATCCCACTTCAACTAACCGGTCAAATGGAGATACCGACTGCATGCCACTAAACCTGAAGTCAAATACTTTGACCACAGAGCACAGATTGGTGAATTTCCCACATACGAGCCAGACTTCGCTACAGCAAGCAGCCGAGGATATAAGGATGAACCCTTCAATGGAGAGAAACAGCCTGCAACATAGAGTACCGACTAACTCTGTGGAGAAAATACGTTCACCACATAAATCTGCGAATCAAATGGTGACGAAACCCAAATTATCCGCTGGCAAACATCGACGCTCGAGGATCCGAGCTGGAAGCCGTCGGCTTCGAGTTCGACAAACCAAATCTCATGAACATCATTACGATGCAACGCAATATACTAGAAAAGACGGAACTCTGGACCTGCGGATGAAGCAAGCAGCCGTAGGAAGTGCCTCAGAAAACCACCTAGAAGAAATGCGTGAAAGGGTAAGTGCTTTACTAGATGGAAGAAAATGTTTGATAAGTTACACTATTTTGACTACGGAAAACTAAATCCGACTTATATCACCGGTCTGACCGTTCGATTTATTCTCAACCAGCGACCGGAATGTCTTGGCAACGGATAGCGAATAGTGCGTCCATTTCGTGCTACTCGACATTAGCTAGTAGTGTGTTGTTTATGCAGCCATGACAGTCGTGTTCAGACGCATTGTTCGTACACTACACGATTGAAACCTTACCCCAGAAGTGTTACCAATTTTCTTTGCAGACAATGATTCTATCAGCTTCTCACCTCAAGCGCGCCAAAATGATGTTTCTATACGCGAGATATCCCAATTCAAGTATGTCTTACCCCAGAAGTGTTACCAATTTTCGTTGCAGACAATGATTCTATCAGCTTCCCACCTCAAGCGCGCCAAAATGATGTTCCTATACGCGAGATATCCCAATTCAAGTATGCTCAAATCGCATTTCCCCGACGTCATTTTTACAAGGGCCACCACAGCTCAAATGGTCAAATGGTTCAGCAATTTCCGGTAAGCGAATGTGTAATCTTGGTAATTAAATACTCTGCCTTGGGGGAATCCACACCTTTGCACTCCCGCACCATCGGCATGTTGACAAGTCCACACGATCTGCACGGGTGTTTGGAACCGGGATCAGATGCATGTTGCTTTGCAGGACAAACCAGTCCGTGAGCAATTGTTTTGTTCCATTTCATTGACGATTTGTATTGCAGAATTTCAATTTTTCGCTTATTAATCCGCCGACTTTGTCCGGCTGCTTTGTGCTTCTAAAATTCGCTGTTGTATTTCAGTCTAATGTCTTAATATGTGCAAGGTGTTCTACCTTACTCAAGCTTCAATACTCACTGATTCTTCTGTTCGTATTTTTGTGTAGTGAGTTCTTTTATATTCAGATCGAAAAATGGGCCCGCCAGTGTAACGCTAATCGGTGTCCAGTCGAGCTGGCAGTAAAAATCACTCGGGGTCACGAGCTATTTCAGTGTCTAGAGGGACACTACAACAGAGACCAAGAGCTCCCGGTGAGTATAGTGAGTATGTAGTATAGTATGAGTATAGTATTTTTCTGTGAAGCCCTTATAAGTAGTTTTACCACGAAATTCTCTCAAACTACTTATGAATGAGAATCAAAATGCTTAAAAGTCACTAGCGTACCTAAATTTCTGCCAGAACAAACTTAGATAAGGCAATGGCTCACTCCAACGCAGCTTGGCTCATAAAAATCAGAATGTGCTGACTGTAGGTCTGATGTTATTATCTGATCGTTAAATCCATTCGGCTCGCTCCAGTCAGCTGGTTGGAAATCAGTATATGATTGCTTGTACTTAGCTGTTAGTCACGGTCAGCATTGCTATGCGTTGCAAATGAACCTCTCTGCATTGGAGAGAAGCAGCGAAGCATCAGTGCTAAACACTGACTTCATGCTGTCTATGACGATGATGATGATGATTCAGGTCTTAGACCAGAAAAAATGATTAAATACCCTGATCCATGTGTCACTAAACTGCCTCACTTACTTTCAGACCCCAGAGGATTTTCTAGTCGTTACTCAAATTGCTGTGCGGGAGTTCGTGGAGGCCGTGGTGAACCGGAAGGATCGTGACCCAACGTGGAAGAAGAATATTTACAAAACGGGGGCTGGACAAGCACTGGAAAAGCCATTTCCGGACTTTCTCAAGCTTCTCAAGTAGAACTCAGTTGGAGTTTTAGTGGTATATCGTATGCAGAACTTTTCACCCACCAAACCACTGATGTTATCCGTGGTGGTAATTATCAGTACTTGGCAACTGAATTTAATTTTGTACATATCAGTTTCTTACGTACGAAGGGACAATATATTTCATAATCGTAAGCCCATCAAATACATTTTTTGGTCCTCAACTAGTTGGGCTACTATGCTAGGGTTCGATTTTAGATGAAAATAACCGTTGCTGAAGAATTGTTTTCCCATAAATAAGCATTTTATACTGGCCTCATGGAGCCTGTTTTGTCGATGGTTCAGACGCACCCAGCAAGCGCGCAGGTATCTCACGCTTATCGTTTGGGTTGGCTACCGATGGGACATCTGCACCCGAATCCCAGACCATAGTAAGCCAGCAGTTAGGTGTGAGGTAGCATTTTATTTTAAGTGAATGGAACTGCTGAAACAGCTTTGAGGCCTTCCCAAAGGATGCCTTCAATAGCGAAATTCCTCATATCAACGAATGACACATGAAAGGAAACTGCCGTTTCTTCGATGAAGCTGGCACTAGCTTATTGATGACCTGACCAGGATATCTGATGCATCCTTACTTGTCAGGTAAGTATTACAAACTCACTAGTTGGACAGTCATTCGTCCTGATACTTTGTCGCATCCGAGGATCATCCTGCACATGTATCCGCGATCCGGTTGCACTCAGCTTTCAATTTGACAAACGTGAATGGTCAGATTATCAGGGTTATTCGCGGATAAGCACTGTGGATATACGTTGAACTAGATGGTAAATTTTCGAAGCGATATCAACACTGACCTGGATAAACAAGTGAGATTTCCTACCAATGTGAACTACCATAGTGGGTGAAACTAGTGAATATAGTAAGATAATCGTTCAGCTGTAACACATTTTCAATGCCTAACTGCTATGTCACACGAAGGAAGCATGAGGACTGGGATAGTGTCAGGTTGCCCAAACCTACACATGGGAAGTAGAGAGGCAGAGGTCGGGTTCGAACAACGGACCTTCCGGTCAGTAAATTCACGCTCCAACCACGTGAGCCATATCGCCTTAGTGAAGAAGAAAGAATTAAGCTGTGTGGCTCAACATCGTTGGTACGGTGACCAAAAGCATCCTTTGTGATTACTTTGTAAACCCAAACATACCAGCAGTTGAATCTCCCCTAGGACTATTACCGTCCTTCAAAAGAAATGTTAGCTTAATCCAGCTTTCCCCTCATCATCGGTTCACTTCTACGCTTCGATGAATTCAGTGAAGATGGTTTCATAAAGGAAAACACTCACAAGATTCCTGTAGACCCTTCAACAGCCAGAGACCGATTTCGCCCTTCTTGAGGCTCATCAGGTAGGCGCAGTCTCCGAGTTTCCGTCAACCCTATGTTCCACTTGAACACAAATAGGACTGATTGCGACCAATACACTCATTCGCAAATCAATTCAGTTGTCGGGAAAGACTCAACTGAATCTCTCGTTTATGATATTCTACAACTGAATGTGATGCACACAGGCCGCCTCATGTTTCAGTTTGCACGATATTCGAGATATCGCATTATATTTTCATAAAGGCGACCTGTGTGCAGCACATTCAATTGAAGAACATCATAAACGAGAAATTCTCTTGAGTATACTGCGAAAAACAAATTGGTATGCAAATGAGTGATGTTGTCGAAATCAGTGAAGATCTGGTACTCAGCTGTTATCCTCTTCATAATTTGCTGAATATGAACACCAAATTGAAACTGTGGGGCTTAGGTGGAAGTCAAACGGAAATTTAAAAAACTAGAACCATAAGCCTGACACAAACTAGGCCTTCCGTTTCCGTTCTAGGCTGGGTTCAGCTGCTTTCAGCATACGTGCAAGATTCCGACCACTAATCCTATGATTTGCAGGTCCTCAGGTATCAGGCTCCCCATACAAAATTTCGAGTCACGCGTAGGTTTGATTATGCTGAATAGCAAAATGAAGGACTAGGTGCTCTTTACACAAAAGTGGGCACACTTACACAACAAACCTCAGTTGTCCACGGTCGTGGCGCAATTGACCGGCACAGTGCAGTATCAAAGTCCGCTAAACAGACAACGGTGAGCCGAATGTTGGTTCACTAATGTGGGTTGGGTTGATCCCTTCCGTGACTAGTCTCGTGATTCTGATTGGCGATGTGATAACACCACAGGACAAGTCAGAGAAGGTTCAATAGACGGGGGGAGGCATGAAAACGTACGGGTATGTAGGTCGATGCCGCACACGTCAGTATGCCAATGTCAGACAGGGGCGGCCTTTTGAGGATAGGTGAATTTCGAGCACGGAAGGACAAAGCAGACAGAGTGAAGCAGATGTGAAGCTGATATTCAACTGAGCCTTCAAAATCAACGGAAACGACTGGCGTTATTTCCGGACAAAAAATTTCCTAATGGAAAATGTGTTGTAAGCATCCAGTCACAGGGTGAAATCCAGATCGGTGCTCACCACCGGCAATCGATCATCCCTGGTAGGATGAGACCAAAGAGCACCGAGAACCATCTAGTGACCAGAAATATACCGGAAGTGAATCTACACGATAGTATTAAGTTACAATTGACATGTAACAGTACAAAGGAGGTAAATTATTCTTTGGGCTTATTCTATCTTGTCTACTGAAAGACTTGTCTTGAGTTATTTAAAAGGTGCTTTACAGATACTCAGGTATACTCCTTCTACAGTTTTATTTAGTATACGTGTTACATTTAGGTTGGAATTTGCCTTTTGAAGACCAAACCTAATTAGCCTTGAATGCACGCGTTTTTTCACCAGGCTGCATAAAACGCAGTTACTTCTATTTGGAAGTGTTTTCTCTCCCACTTACAGTCGAATCAAAGAGAAGCCCATGTCACTGAAGGTGAACATTCACCATACAAAATCAGGGTTGTGTTAGAAGATCAAAGTGGAAAACTGAAAATCGACAAACAGAAAGTAATGTGAGATGCGGAAACCATGGACAAAAACGTGGATTGTTTAGCTATTTGAAGATACCTGTGTAAAATGCAGCCAAGGTATATCAGACGTTATTCCAATATTCGTTTGAGTCGAGCAAAGAGGAATGCATAGAACTATGGTTATTTTCACGCATTCAAGGACAAATCTTCAAATACTATCACGTGATTAACCGAAGCCTCATTGTCTGGCTGCTAGCCTACCTGTGCGGCATGTTGCATCTTTCCGGACAGAGGTGTTGTTTGGTTTCATATATGTATTATCAAGCAAATAACCATACTACTAACTACTACTATAACTAACTAATACAATGGTATGACAGTTATTCATCCTTTTTAGCTCCTAACGTGGTTACCTCATAAAATGTCCCAAAGTTTTCTTTACTGTGCACGTGAAATTCGTAAAAGTTAGCACATTCAATTGATGCAGGGGAGATTTAGCTTAGATTCAGTTGGGTCTCCCGGTAAAACGGCACTGTTGTGCAAACAGACGTATTTCACCGGAAAATTTCGTTTGAAATAGAAGGTGAGGTTGACGTGTGGTCGGGGATTGCGTCTAGCTCATGAAGTCGAAGCAGAAGAACGGTGAAGCCAGTCTTGAGCTATCGAAGAGTTTTCAGTAACCCTATGGGTATCGTTCCTTTGATCAAACAAACTCCAGTTTCGAAAAAGTTTGGTGACAATCGGTGGATTTATTGCTGGGCCACGTATCGCTTTTGACACAAAAGCTTCGTCAGGTCAAGTGACTACACAACTAGTTCAGCATTAGCTCACCCACACAGACTGACGGAAGGTTCAAACGAAGTTCAAGAGGAACCATCAAATGAACCGAACCAGAAGAACTAGACCCTAGGCTGGACCCAAACAGATATACGTTTCCCCACCGACCCAACACTTGTTCAACCACTCTAACACACTAAAATCCCTCGGCTGACACCCAACAGAGATTTAGCTTGACTTAGCTGATTGGTTCTCCTTCCGCCTTAAATCTCGACCAACCTCGGAACCTCATCACTTGGCCCGACGAAGCATTTGTGTTGCTTGTGTTGCCCAGCAATAAATCCACCGATTGTCACCAAACTTTTTCGAAAATGATGACTACCCAATCGGTTCCCAATATTTTTCACGTGATTGAAACTCCAGTTTCGTTCCTTTAGGATGAGCTGAGAAAACCTCTGAATGTTGCGGCACACGTCCCTTGGCGTTCACTGGGCGCCAACGATACATTCATTAGCAGGGGACTAGAAAATGACGGTTTGTGCCTGGATGGATACAGTGAGGAAATTCACATTGGCGTATAGAAGTTAAACGATTTCTGCTTGGTTGCAGGAATTCTCGAATTGCAAAACAACCCCTCGGTCACACTGAATATTCCTACTCAGGTCGTTTTGGTGAGTATACTAGGGATAAGGAAAACCTGGGCAAAGAAAGTTAGGTTCAATAGAGAGTGATAAATGAGGTAAAAAAAAACTCTGAGAAGAGAAAGACACGTGATGCTTACTCCTGTTACTATTCTGAAAAACCCTTAGGATCTTTCCAAAATGGATTTGATCGTTAAGAAATGCTGAAAATTGGACAATTTGGCGCTGAAAAAGGAAAGTTTCAGCTCAGAAAATACGGGTTTCTCTAGATCAATCGGATATGCGTTTATCATTCATCTGTTGTCGCATGAACTAGCTCGGAAGTGTTCTAGTGTAGGCCGACCTCATCGGGAATGGTTCTGCTTCGCCATCGACGCCTGAGTAGCGTTCATTCACAGTGTGAGGCGGCGTTTTTCGACTCGTGCAGTTGTGTCTTTTAATCCACCTGGAATCACTGCATTCACGTGATTTTCCTCTGTGTTCATGGTCTCCAGTAAAGCGGAGTGAGGTGGATACAGAATATTTCATAGGACATCTCTAAGAAATTTTACCTGAGTCCATGACTTGACAACCAACCATTAGAGACTTTGGAATTTCCGTGTATCTTGAAACAACCACCGGTGACCTACCGATGAGACGGTGGAGCAACAACGTGTGTGGTTGTTTCGTGACAGCGGTCCAGTCAAGAGTGAGTTAAAGATCAATTTTTGATAATGGTTGTTCCAATATGGTGGGACCGACTGAAGTTTCCTTTTAACAAGATTAGTTCTAACTATCTCGTTAACAGAGAGGGATGAACGGCTACATGGCACGTCCCGTCATCATTTACCCGGACTCATCATCCATTACGTTGACAATCAAAATTCCCCACGTTTCTCCTCTCCCGCACCACTTTTGTGTTTAGTGCGTGCATATGAACTGGCGTTTGGTTGTCCTTACCACTCAACTCATTTGGCGTTGAAGTCATCCGACCATTTGTTGCCGACCTTGTGCATGTGTGACTGTCTCACGTGGGATCCTGTTTGCTTATTTGGCTAGCACTTTTGTAGTCCAGATGAACCATTTGTTGTGGACGAGTATCTGTCGTCGAGGTTTGTATAATTTGTGAATTTGTTTTGCCTTAATAGTACTGTATAGAAACCCAGCTCCGACTTTGTTTTGCCTTCCCAGAAGATCCCGTTCGCCCATTACACCGGAACTGTACAAATAACTCGTCATTACAATAAACGTCACTGAGAGTCCCAGTGCAAGACTTTACCCGGTAGAACTGATCACAATATCATCCGTAAACCCATACTGGATAGATGAGAAATGAAGGGTTTCCTAGCCGATAGGGGGGTTGGAGGATGTGGAGAAAGGAATGGATTATAAAACAGGGCCTCAGAGAACAGCAGTGCTAGCTGAGAAGACGATAGAAGTTCGGACTCGTAACCTGTGTCCGGTTTGTGAAATAGCTTTGGAGAAACCTGAGTCGATCCTGTTTGGTCACACTTCCTTCAGGCCAAAGGGGCAACGCAGCACTGCTAGAATGCTACCAGGAGCATTTGTAACGTCCAAAAACAAAATTCTCAGCTTCCTCATCCCTATAATCTCAAAAAGCAACCGGGTGAACCAGCAAGTGCAGTGCTTGCGAGAAGATAAGTGAAGCAGGATATACCTTCAAAGATGTTGACAATGACAACTTTTTTCACAAAGGGAACTACTCTCAAGGTTGCTGACAGGTAGGTACAGTTCCCCGGTTTCTTCGCAAAATTATGTATTTGTCGAAATCAGTCCGGTTTGGGTTCAAGTAGAGCATAGGGTTGACGGAAACTTGCCAAGAACCAAGAAGGGCGAAAGTGGTCGTGGGCTGTCGAGTAGTTTACAGCAATCTTGTGAGTAGTTTCCTTTATGAAAAAAAACGTTGTTCTTCTCAATACCGTACACATTGGATTGAGGTGTGAAGATGAAAAAACAGAAGAAACAAGTGTGGCAAAGCCGCGCATAAAAATATGGTACTGTTTCAGGTTGCTGGTTTCAACAGGGACGAGGCGAACGTAGAAATTTAGCCACGATCCAACTTTAATAATTCTCTAGCCACAAAAGATTAGGTGCAATACAGCTGTCCGTTTGAGCCAATCGCGGCTGTATTTTTGTTGAGAGTTCAGCCCAAATTGAAAGACAATCTGTGCTAAAAGCCGAGAACCAGTGTACAGCTAATCCATTCCTGTAACGATTAAATCTTCACAGCGATTCTTACCCGCTCAAGGTTGTACCGGCCGGCTACAAATAACCAATCAGCAGGATCATCTTGTGCATCTCCAGACATACTAAGCAACATGTTGAGTGAACTTTTTGTCCAGGATGGAACTTCAGCTCACATCAAGCTGAACTGCAGAAATAAAGACAAAGATTCACAGTCTACTGAATGCTTGCATTCAAAGGAATTCAAATCACTTTCATCATCTGTGAGGACGCGCCACCTTTGGATTCGAGGACAGCATGGTAAACAGATAAAACAAATACCCGATTAGTTGATAATCAGTACCACTGAATCCAACTTGATGACGATAACGCATGGTAATTTCTCCATTCATTTGATCAATCCGCCCATGTACTTTTGGTCTCCACTTGTTTTGCCCATCCGTACCCGCCGTTCAATTTGTCGCAAAGGCTGTGTGTGTGTGTGTGTCAGTCGACCTACTTACACATGCATTTTCCTGCCGCTCCTGCTGAGCCCACCCTGACTTGTCCTGTCGTGATTTCCGTGCGATCGCACCGGCAAGCAGAATCACGAAAGGGACGGCTGCAACCCACTCAACCAACAGTCCGCTCGCCATTGTCTGGTTAGCGGGCCTTGACAGTGCACAGTGCCGGCCACTGACAGAGTTGCTGATGAGCTGATGCTGAGGGTTGACTGTGCACGACTGTGCACACGGTACCGTAGATCTTCGCACCCAATTCTTCCTTTAGATATTAGGGATCATCAAACCTACACGTCACCCGAAATACCGTATCGGGAATCTCAACAAGAACATTGTGTAGGTTTTCATCTCGACATATTTAGGTTAATTTTTTCATTTTTTGCCTGACCTTGCAAACAGGTGTTTAACCATGCAGCTCCACCAATTGGAAGATAGTAAAAAAGATAGTTTAATACTACGCCTCCGATCAAACAATGTGTTGCTATTTCTAAACAAAACGATGTTCTTCTTTAGGTTTCCTTCAATGCTGGGAATTTTGATGAACCTCTTCAGAACATGCAAGCACCACTTATTATTGTTTGCTCGTGCCACTGTTGTACCCTGCATCCCATTGGTTACTTCATTCAACTCTGTTGATGTTCACTCATAAACCAGTACTGATTCATTTTAGTTCTATTCCAATGCATTTCGAAATCGGTGTAAGTGGTGATTGAGAAACTGCGATTGTTTCGGGCGCAGCAAAACCTCATACCGAGTTTAGAGGAAAAGTGAAAAGTAGGATCCGGTCGGAGCCAATTTGAGGGACACTAACGCATGTGCGTTAGTCGGATGGGGATCGCGGCAATTTAAACCACACATCACTCATGTATCGGAATAACGCGTCTGAACGAGGCAAAAATTCAAGCATCCTATAACAAGACTTTGAATGAATTAGTGTTTTTCAATAACAAAAAGTCACAAAGCGAATTCGGGGACACACATCGACTTGATGTCCTGTAAGCTGCTTACATAGACAGCTGGAGGGGAAAAATGGCGACGAAGTGTGAGAGTGAACCGCCGCCAAGGTAGCTATAAGCAAATAGAAACTGGCGGTGTGGAGATAACAGTGTTATAGTAAAACAAGTGAGGACTTTAGATAAATGAGCCGAGACTTTTGGATCTGGAAGTAAAAAGCAGATCATAGGGGCGAGGTGGCGTGCGATTCAGATTCGAACATGCCCCAAAACAGCACGCGTCATTCAACTAGGCAAACTGGACTGGGATTCTAACGAACAGTCAATATCTTGTCCAGCATACTCGCATTATTAATAAATATATTAGATTAGATCCACATAAATCCACATGAGTCATCTTGCTAGTCGAGTCCCACTTGGACAAGTGGAATTCGTTAGTTGAACATGTTGCTGGTCCTTGCAAACTCTGTTTGTTTCCATCTTCTACAGTATCCTTTGTTCGCCATCCTCTCAGCGCAGTGTGCCGGATGCCTCCGGCCAGAGAGGCGTACACTGTAGTGACGCAAACTTGTTCTGTTTCCATCTTCTACAGTATCCTTTGTTCGCCATCCTCTCAGCGCAGTGTGCCGGATGCCTCCGGCCAGAGAGGCGTACACAGACTGTAGTGACTCTGGCTATCATTCTGTAAACGGAAGATAACTGGAATGAATATAATTGATTCGAAGATCAGGAAGTCAGGACAGTCAGTTCAGAGCTTAGTAAGAGCAAATCGGCATGTCGAACACTGAGCATTTCTGACTGCGATGTTTCAACCGTTTGATAACCTACACAAGGCCNTTTTCAACTCGTGCAGTTGTGTCTTTTAATCCACCTGGATTCACTGCATTCATGTGATTTTCCTCTGTGTTCATGGTCCCCGGTAAAGCGGAGTGAGGTGGGTACAGAATATTTCATAGGACATCTCTAAAAATTTTTACCCGAGTACATGACTTGACAACCAACCATTACAGACTTTGGAATTTCCGTGTATCTTGAAACAACCACCGGTGACCCACCGATGAGACGGTGGAGCAACAACGTGTGTGGTTGTTTCGTGACAGCGGTCCAGTCAAGAGTGAGTTAAAGATCAATTTTTGATGATGGTTGTTCGAATATGGTGGGACCGACTGAAGTTTCCTTTTAACAAGATTAGTTCTAACTATCTCGTTAACAGTGAGGGATGAACGGCTACACGGCACGTCCTGTCATCATTTACCCGGATGCATCATCCATTACGTTGACAATCAAAATTCCCCACGTTTCTCCTCTCCCTATTTGTAATCCCCGCACCACTTTTGTGTTTAGTGCGTGCATATGAACTGGCGTTTGTTTGTCCTTACCACTCAATTCATTTGGCCTTGAAGTCATCCGACCATTTGTGGCCGACCTTGTGGACGTGTGACTGTCTCACGTGGGATCCTGTTTGCTCATTTGGCTAGCACTTTTGTAGTCCAGATGGGCCATTTGTTGTGGACGAGTATCTGTTGTCGAGGTTTGTATAAGTTGTGAATTTGTTTTGCCTTAATAGTACTGTATAGAAACCCAGCTCCGACTTTGTTTTGCCTTCCCATTACACCGTAACTGTGCAAATAACTCGTCATTACAATAAATGTCACTGAGAGTCACAGTGCAAAACTTTACCCGGTAGAACTGATCACAATATCATCCGTAAACCCATACTGGATAGATGAGAAATGAAGGGTTTCCTAGCCGATAGGGGGGTTGGAGGATGTGGAGAAAGGAATGGATTATAAAACAGGGCCTCAGAGAACAGCAGTGCTAGCTGAGAAGACGATAGAAGTTCGGACTCGTAACCTGTGTCCGGTTTGTGAAATAGCTTTGGAGAAACCTGAGTCGATCCTGTTTGGTCACACTTCCTTCAGGCCAAAGGGGCAACGCAGCACTGCTAGAATGCTACCAGGAGCATTTGTAACGTCCAAAAACAAAATTCTCAGCTTCCTCATCCCTATAATCTCAAAAAGCAACCGGGTGAACCAGCAAGTGCAGTGCTTGCGAGAAGATAAGTGAAGCAGGATATACCTTCAAAGATGTTGACAATGACAACTTTTTTCACAAAGGGAACTACTCTCAAGGTTGCTGACAGGTAGGTACAGTTCCCCGGTTTCTTCGCAAAATTATGTATTTGTCGAAATCAGTCCGGTTTGGGTTCAAGTAGAGCATAGGGTTGACGGAAACTTGCCAAGAACCAAGAAGGGCGAAAGTGGTCGTGGGCTGTCGAGTAGTTTACAGCAATCTTGTGAGTAGTTTCCTTTATGAAAAAAAAACGTTGTTCTTCTCAATACCGTACACATTGGATTGAGGTGTGAAGATGAAAAAACAGAAGAAACAAGTGTGGCAAAGCCGCGCATAAAAATATGGTACTGTTTCAGGTTGCTGGTTTCAACAGGGACGAGGCGAACGTAGAAATTTAGCCACGATCCAACTTTAATAATTCTCTAGCCACAAAAGATTAGGTGCAATACAGCTGTCCGTTTGAGCCAATCGCGGCTGTATTTTTGTTGAGAGTTCAGCCCAAATTGAAAGACAATCTGTGCTAAAAGCCGAGAACCAGTGTACAGCTAATCCATTCCTGTAACGATTAAATCTTCACAGCGATTCTTACCCGCTCAAGGTTGTACCGGCCGGCTACAAATAACCAATCAGCAGGATCATCTTGTGCATCTCCAGACATACTAAGCAACATGTTGAGTGAACTTTTTGTCCAGGATGGAACTTCAGCTCACATCAAGCTGAACTGCAGAAATAAAGACAAAGATTCACAGTCCACTGAATGCTTGCATTCAAAGGAATTCAAATCACTTTCATCATCTGTGAGGACGCGCCACCTTTGGATTCGAGGACAGCATTGTAAACAGATAAAACAAATACCCGATTAGTTGATAATCAGTACCACTGAATCCAACTTGATGACGATAACGCATGGTAATTTATCCATTCATTTGATCAATCCGCCCATGTACTTTTGGTCTCCACTTGTTTTGCCCATCCGTACCCGCCGTTCAATTTGTCGCAAAGGCTGTGTGTGTGTGTGTGTCAGTCGACCTACTTACACATGCATTTTCCTGCCGCTCCTGCTGAGCCCACCCTGACTTGTCCTGTCGTGATTTCCGTGCGATCGCACCGGCAAGCAGAATCACGAAAGGGACGGCTGCAACCCACTCAACCAACAGTCCGCTCGCCATTGTCTGGTTAGCGGGCCTTGACAGTGCACAGTGCCGGCCACTGACAGAGTTGCTGATGAGCTGATGCTGAGGGTTGACTGTGCACGACTGTGCACACGGTACCGTAGATCTTCGCACCCAATTCTTCCTTTAGATATTAGGGATCATCAAACCTACACGTCACCCGAAGTACCGTATCGGGAATCTCAACAAGAACATTGTGTAGGTTTTCACCTCGACATATTTAGGTTAATTTTTTCCATTCTTTGCCTGACCTTGCAAACAGGTGTCTAACCATGCAGCTCCACCAATTGGAAGATAGTAAAAAAGATAGTTTAATACTACGCCTCCGATCAAACAATGTGTTGCTATTTCTAAACAAAACGATGTTCTTCTTTAGGTTTCCTTCATTGCTGGGAATTTTGACGAACCTCTTCAGAACATGCAAGCACCACTTATTATTGTTTGCTCGTGCCACTGTTGTACCCTGCATCCCATTGGTTACTTCATTCAACTCTGTTGATGTTCACTCATAAACCAGTACTGATTCATTTTAGTTCTATTCCAATGCATTTCGAAATCGGTGCAAGTGGTGATTGAGAAACTGCGATTGTTTCGGGCGCAGCAAAACCTCATACCGAGTTTAGAGGAAAAGTGAAAAGTAGGATCCGGTCGGAGCCAATTTGAGGGACACTAACGCATGTGCGTTAGTCGGATGGGGATCGCGGCAATTTAAACCACACATCACTCATGTATCGGAATAACGCGTCTGAACGAGGCAAAAATTCAAGCATCCTATAACAAGACTTTGAATGAATTAGTGTTTTTCAATAACAAAAAGTCACAAAGCGAATTCGGGGACACACATCGACTTGATGTCCTGTAAGCTGCTTACATAGACAGCTGGAGGGGAAAAATGGCGACGAAGTGTGAGAGTGAACCGCCGCCAAGGTAGCTATAAGCAAATAGAAACTGGCGGTGTGGAGATAACAGTGTTATAGTAAAACAAGTGAGGACTTTGGTTAAATGAGCCGAGACTTTTGGATCTGGAAGTAAAAAGCCGATCATAGGGGCGAGGTGGCGTGCGATTCAGATTCGAACATGCCCCAAAACAGCACGCGTCATTCAACTAGGCAAACTGGACTGGGATTCTAACGAACAGTCAATATCTTGTCCAGCATACTCGCATTATTAATAAATATGTTGAATTAGATCCACGTAAATCCACATGAGTCATCTTGCTAGTCGAGTCCCACTTGAACAAGTGGAATTCGTTAGTTGAACACGTCTCCATGCTGGTCCTTGTGATGTAAGCTAGTCATTTCAAGCTGGTCATGTCAATTTTCAGTCAATTTGCTTCAGCCCATGACGTGGCGTTTACTACATTGCACTCTAATTCCTAAAATAACAACCCCCCAGTTGGGATTCCGAAGTCCTTTGCAAACTTGTTCTGTTTCCATCTTCTACAGCATCCTTTGTTCGCCATCGGGTAACTAAACCATCATCCTCTCAGTGCAGTGTACCGGATGCCTCTGGCCAGAGGGGCGTACACAGAGTGTAGTGACTCTGGCCATCATTCTGTAAACGGAAGATAACTGGAATGAATATACTTGATCCGAAGATCAGGAAGTCAGAACAGTGAGTTCAGAGCTCAGTAAGAGCAAATCGGCAAGTCGAACACTGAGCATTTCTGACTGCGATTGTTCAACCGTTTGATAACCTACACAAGGCCNTATAGAAACCCAGCTCCGACTTTGTTTTGCCTTCCCAGAAGATCCCGTTCGCCCATTACACCGGAACTGTACAAATAACTCGTCATTACAATAAACGTCACTGAGAGTCCCAGTGCAAGACTTTACCCGGTAGAACTGATCACAATATCATCCGTAAACCCATACTGGATAGATGAGAAATGAAGGGTTTCCTAGCCGATAGGGGGGTTGGAGGATGTGGAGAAAGGAATGGATTATAAAACAGGGCCTCAGAGAACAGCAGTGCTAGCTGAGAAGACGATAGAAGTTCGGACTCGTAACCTGTGTCCGGTTTGTGAAATAGCTTTGGAGAAACCTGAGTCGATCCTGTTTGGTCACACTTCCTTCAGGCCAAAGGGGCAACGCAGCACTGCTAGAATGCTACCAGGAGCATTTGTAACGTCCAAAAACAAAATTCTCAGCTTCCTCATCCCTATAAACTCAAAAAGCAACCGGGTGAACCAGCAAGTGCAGTGCTTGAAAGAAGATAAATGGAGCAGGATATACCTCCAAAGATGTTGACAATGACAACTTTTTTTCACAAAGGGAACTACTCTCAAGGTTGCTGACAGGTAGGTACAGTTCCCCGGTTTCTTCGCAAAATTATGTATTTGTCGAAATCAGTCCGGTTTGGGTTCAAGTAGAGCATAGGGTTGACGGAAACTTGCCAAGAACCAAGAAGGGCGAAAGTGGTCGTGGGCTGTCGAGTAGTTTACAGCAATCTTGTGAGTAGTTTCCTTTATGAAAAAAAAACGTTGTTCTTCTCAATACCGTACACATTGGATTGAGGTGTGAAGATGAAAAAACAGAAGAAACAAGTGTGGCAAAGCCGCGCATAAAAATATGGTACTGTTTCAGGTTGCTGGTTTCAACAGGGACGAGGCGAACGTAGAAATTTAGCCACGATCCAACTTTAATAATTCTCTAGCCACAAAAGATTAGGTGCAATACAGCTGTCCGTTTGAGCCAATCGCGGCTGTATTTTTGTTGAGAGTTCAGCCCAAATTGAAAGACAATCTGTGCTAAAAGCCGAGAACCAGTGTACAGCTAATCCATTCCTGTAACGATTAAATCTTCACAGCGATTCTTACCCGCTCAAGGTTGTACCGGCCGGCTACAAATAACCAATCAGCAGGATCATCTTGTGCATCTCCAGACATACTAAGCAACATGTTGAGTGAACTTTTTGTCCAGGATGGAACTTCAGCTCACATCAAGCTGAACTGCAGAAATAAAGACAAAGATTCACAGTCCACTGAATGCTTGCATTCAAAGGAATTCAAATCACTTTCATCATCTGTGAGGACGCGCCACCTTTGGATTCGAGGACAGCATTGTAAACAGATAAAACAAATACCCGATTAGTTGATAATCAGTACCACTGAATCCAACTTGATGACGATAACGCATGGTAATTTATCCATTCATTTGATCAATCCGCCCATGTACTTTTGGTCTCCACTTGTTTTGCCCATCCGTACCCGCCGTTCAATTTGTCGCAAAGGCTGTGTGTGTGTGTGTGTCAGTCGACCTACTTACACATGCATTTTCCTGCCGCTCCTGCTGAGCCCACCCTGACTTGTCCTGTCGTGATTTCCGTGCGATCGCACCGGCAAGCAGAATCACGAAAGGGACGGCTGCAACCCACTCAACCAACAGTCCGCTCGCCATTGTCTGGTTAGCGGGCCTTGACAGTGCACAGTGCCGGCCACTGACAGAGTTGCTGATGAGCTGATGCTGAGGGTTGACTGTGCACGACTGTGCACACGGTACCGTAGATCTTCGCACCCAATTCTTCCTTTAGATATTAGGGATCATCAAACCTACACGTCACCCGAAATACCGTATCGGGAATCTCAACAAGAACATTGTGTAGGTTTTCATCTCGACATATTTAGGTTAATTTTTTCATTTTTTGCCTGACCTTGCAAACAGGTGTTTAACCATGCAGCTCCACCAATTGGAAGATAGTAAAAAAGATAGTTTAATACTACGCCTCCGATCAAACAATGTGTTGCTATTTCTAAACAAAACGATGTTCTTCTTTAGGTTTCCTTCAATGCTGGGAATTTTGATGAACCTCTTCAGAACATGCAAGCACCACTTATTATTGTTTGCTCGTGCCACTGTTGTACCCTGCATCCCATTGGTTACTTCATTCAACTCTGTTGATGTTCACTCATAAACCAGTACTGATTCATTTTAGTTCTATTCCAATGCATTTCGAAATCGGTGTAAGTGGTGATTGAGAAACTGTGATTGTTTCGGGCGCAGCAAAACCTCATACCGAGTTTAGAGGAAAAGTGAAAATTAGGATCCGGTCGGAGCCAATCTGAGGGACACTAACGCATGTGCGTTAGTCGGATGGGGATCGCGGCAATTTAAACTACACATCACTCATGTATCGGAATAACGCGTCTGAACGAGGCAAAAATTCAAGCATCCTATAACAAGACTTTGAATGAATTAGTGTTTTTCAATAACAAAAAGTCACAAAGCGAATTCGACTTGATGTCCTGTAAGCTGCTTACATAGACAGCTGGAGGGGAAAAATGGCGACGAAGTATGAGAGTGAACCGCCGCCAAGGTAGCTATAAGCGAATAGAAACTGGCGGTGTGGAGATAACAGTGTTATAGTAAAACAAGTGAGGACTTTGGTTAAATGAGCCGAGACTTTTGGATCTGGAAGTAAAAAGCCGATCATAGGGGCGAGGTGGCGTGCGATTCAGATTCGAACATGCCCCAAAACAGCACGCGTCATTCAACTAGGCAAACTGGACTGGGATTCTAACGAACAGTCAATATCTTGTCCAGCATACTCGCATTATTAATAAATATGTTGAATTAGATCCACGTAAATCCACATGAGTCATCTTGCTAGTCGAGTCCCACTTGAACAAGTGGAATTCGTTAGTTGAACACGTCTCCATGCTGGTCCTTGTGATGTAAGCTAGTCATTTCAAGCTGGTCATGTCAATTTTCAGTCAATTTGCTTCAGCCCATGACGTGGCGTTTACTACATTGCACTCTAATTCCTAAAATAACAACCCCCCAGTTGGGATTCCGAAGTCTTTTGCAAACTTGTTCTGTTTCCATCTTCTACAGCATCCTTTGTTCGCCATCGGGTAACTAAACCATCATCCTCTCAGTGCAGTGTACCGGATGCCTCTGGCCAGAGGGGCGTACACAGAGTGTAGTGACTCTGGCCATCATTCTGTAAACGGAAGATAACTGGAATGAATATACTTGATCCGAAGATCAGGAAGTCAGAACAGTGAGTTCAGAGCTCAGTAAGAGCAAATCGGCAAGTCGAACACTGAGCATTTCTGACTGCGATTGTTCAACCGTTTGATAACCTACACAAGGCCTCATAAGTGAACCTGGAAACATCACAAATGAGAGATTCAGTTGGGTTCCAAGTGAGTCTCTCGAAAAACCAAATTAATTTGCAAATGAGTGTCTATTTGCTAATTTCGTGTAATCTAGTTTCAAGCAGAACATAAGGTTGGCGGAAACTCGGGGACTGCGCCTACCTGATGAGCCCCAAAACGGGCGAAACCGGTCGTGGGCTGTCGACGAATTTTCAGCAACATTACGAGTAGTGCATTACAAATAAATCTCAAAGGTTTCATTCTGTTCTGTTGAGGTGCATGAGACCCTGCTCGTCCAAAAACCTTCGTTGATTCCACAGAGTTGGGGAAAAACCGAAGTTCACCTGGACGGCTGTCCAAATGGTCTTCCTCAATCCTTACGTGGTTAGAAGAGACAGTGCACTACGGCTGTGGGTAAAACAAAACTATTGACCGGAACGGATGAACATTGTCTCTGACATGAACAATGATGAGTACAGTCCAGTACGTATGTAGTTTACAACCAGATACAGCATGAACAGTAAAAAGGAGCAGCGAAAAACATGAGGAATACTCGTGCACAAGAAGCTGACCTCATTTGCGGGGCAGTGCATGACCGAATATTGTTAACTGTGGTGTGCACAAACATTCATTGCACTGAGCATTACAAGTCATTGAAGACTGGTTTTTAACCTTTGCGATTTATCAGGGAGTGTTTACCATCTTAACGCCAAAAGTTGATAACCGACTGGGAAACGGTGTGTCACTGCATCGAATTCATTGTGTCTGCTATCTCGATTACTGATTATTATATCTACTGATGGTGATTCACAATTCTGAAGAGCGTGGTGGCAGGCCCTGTTCTCATTGTGACTATTTAGATTGGGATTACTTACTCGCACAGAGTTTTTTTTAAGAATCTCAAAAATTCAGACTTGTGGGATTTCAGGGGAATGTAACAATGTGTTAAACTGCTGCCAATGGAATCTGTCTCGGATTGCCTCTTACTTGTGGGCACAGCTGCCTGGCGATCAGCGACACACCCGCACACACAACTATGTGCATTTGCAGACAACTTATTGTCTGGTTGGAGGACGGATAAGGTCACCAATATTGTCTCTATCCAAGACAGTTCCAAAAAGTCCTAGCAACCACGTAATCCAATGGACCAGATACATAATGCGCGGACTTGTTTTCGCAACCGCCCAAAACTCAGCAGAACAACTATACTGTGGAGCCTAAAATCTTTGTTATTTGCCCAGCTGGAAATCGTATGTCTACCGTTCTCATTGTTTGTTTCCACGGCTTTTTGTCCGTGCCTTCGGTACCTGAAAAAAACCTCAGGCCAGCAAACGAGGAAGGTATCGGTCAGATTTCAGATACGACAGAATAACCAATCAAAGGATTAGGTATGTAGTGGATTAAGTGATTAGCTAAACGGACAATTATTGCGGGCTGTATAAATTTGAGGTGCATCTACGAAGCACACCAAGACATGTCAGAACTGAAGCACAAGTCAATCCCAAGTGAAGTCATTCAGAAGTCTATCCGCTGGAGTAGCGATCAACAGACGTTTTTTTAAGACGTTCATCAGATGATCAAACTCTGCTTAAGCTGATATCGCATGGAATTATTCCTTTCGCGAAACTAACGCGTATTTTGTTGGGAGTGGTGCCTCGCTAGGGGGTCCCACACCAAACCGTGCTTTATGGGTAACGTTTATTGGTAATGTCCACGATGCATCTCAGGGCGATTACTGCAGCTAGCTTTTAGCTAGTGGACTACAGTCAACCGTTAAATTCAAGACATCAGTGGAGCATTTTTGTGATTACAATTAGCGAACGGCCGAACTTGTCCAGTTGGACGAATGTTCGGTCTTTCAGACCTTGGTGATAGTCCCCTAATTCCCACCGTAGTGCGCAGTTGGCATTCTGCCCAGGCTTTTGCTGCTATTCGACACCGAACCACCTGAGCACGTGTTTGAGATAGGTGGCCTGCCTCCCGCCTACGCACGGAGTGCTCACAACGCTGTCTAGGCAACAGTGACCAAAGCGTATGGCGGTGGGCTGGCATCTATTTTCCGATTGGCCTCACACGGGATGACGTCGATGGGCGCACAATAGGTATGCCACACACGGCCAGCGCTAAGCCGCGTGTGCGTGCGCCTGAACGTCCCGTGCCCGGCGTGAATCCGAAGGGATAAGACCGGAGGGCGAAAAGTACAACACTTATCTACCAATTGGAAAGTAACATAAAGGAAGGTGGAACAACAGTACAGTGATTTGCGATCTTCAAGCGGTTTGAATCCACCTGAAGAATGGAAACACCACTAAAACTGCGTAGCTTTATCACAACCTATAAGCTTGATCACGTTGCAAATAAAAGCCAGAATTTACCTAAGGTCTAATCAATCTTGCGATGAATCAGTAAGGTACTTGAAAAAAAGCAAGCCAATCATAATAACTGACATGCAAAACCTGTTCGATAAACAGCTGTTGTCTGGCGACTGAAACCCATCTAGGGTGATTGATCACTACTTGAAACAACTATCCCATTCAGTGTCTGTTTCTGCCATAGAAAATTTGATTCCATGAACGAGGTATGACCGTTGTGGGACAAAACGTAGAAACCGTCTCCAGATTTGTGAGAGGGTTTTTGTAGAGTTCTGTTCTGGGCGCATCACAATGAACTATCACAGACAAAATCGTTAGTGGGGAGGGCATAAACTGATAAAAGCACTTTGAAAAGTTATTCCTCAGTGCACAACTTTGACAACGGATAGTGTAGCCACCAAACTTCTCGTTCAAATTATTTTGAGTAGATGCATGCTATGGGGTTTGCAGGGTATGTATTGTTCAGCGGGCTTCAAGCGTCGTGGCACTACCTGACTGGGAAGTCCTGACAAGCGGGTCGATCGATCGTCACAACCAGGACAATTCCTGGATCGTCGTATCGTCAAACCTGAGAATTCAGATGCGTCCAACCTGCGCCGGCGGAGTAGTGATAACTAGCTCGCGCTCGCATGTCAGGTGTCCGGAGTTCAAACCCCGGCACGGCCATTGGATATGCACCACTACTGATGAGCTCTAATAAGAGCGAAACTCGGGTCCAGCGCTTCCCCCTCCTTTCGTGTGGACTCACCGGAAAAATTATGCCGGAACAGGAAGACAACCGTTCAAACGAGAGTGATGTGAATGTGAACAATATTCTGAGTAGAATAAGTTTAGTTAGACTAGATTGGTTTCTAATGAGGATTTACGTTTCGGTCTGGGTATCTTTGAATGCTTTACGATGGGCCTTATGTTCTTGCAGGCGATGAACTAGCTACTTGGGAAACTATATGTTTTGAGACAAAAGGTTGTCCTGTTGCAGGCCGTGTAATGAATACCACGGTAGCACAGAATTTAGTTGAATTGAATATGTACCCCTTTGAAACAGAAGCCAACAACCGTTAGCAATATTATTATTATTAGTTTCACGTTTGCATGTAATCAGTTCCGCTTCCAACCTCGCGTACCA